TCCTGTGATTCGGCCTTAGAATATGACGAGACAGATACATATGATTTTAGTTGGCTGGTCATGGCCTGTTTACCTGTATTGTATGGTGCTTGAATGATGTTGTAAATATCTAAATGACAAAAAATAGTCCCTCATATTTGCTGTATTGATATTCCTTTTTCACTATTAATGTCTTTTGTATTATTGTTTTATGATATGTACCAAATTTTTGCTTAAATATTACCTTATTGAAAGGTTATTCTAGTTAATATAGGCTATCTTACTTAATACTGTACTCTGTTCTCCAGCTCATCATTCCTAATCCTATTACACTGGTATTTGGCATTTCATTTTCTTAGAGAAATGATCACTTCTGACAATCTAATGATTTTACTAACTTATTTTGTTTATTTACTGTCTTTCCCACTACTTTGTAAGCTGTGTGTTTAATATCATTATATATTCCAATGCTTATGTTACCTGGCACATAGGTATCAAATTAATAATCTGTTAATTATTAATTAATAATTTAAAAATTATTATATTTACTAATAAATATAATTATAATAAACATCACAATAAAATATATAATATAATTAAATATAGTCATGATAAATATAATAAAATAAACAACATTATAAAATCATAATAAATATTCATCATCAATCACTGTCACTATCCTCCCGTTCTTCATCGATTTGCTCGAGCGGGCCCAGTAACGTCTCCATCATGAGACTTGTTGTTACTGTGTTTGGCATATCGAATACATCATGGGTAGCTTGCCAGACTCTGCTGTGTGGGCGAGATACTCTCGGTAGCTTGCCGGGCTCTCCGGGCTCTCTGAGAGGGGCGGAGGAATCAAACTGGGGTCGGCCATATTGGCCGCTTGCAAGGCAAATGCCTTACCCGCTGTGCTATCGCTCCAGCCCTTAATTAATATATTTATAATTTGTTGATTAATAATCAATTTGTTTAATTACAAAATAAAAAATAGGTGAAAAATGTCATCATCATTTAAGTGTGTGTGTGTGGGGGGGGGGGCGGCGCTCCTAAGTGGAGCTGAGAAGACAGAGGTGACTCAGTGATTCTTGTCCAACTGGGGCAGTTGTTCAATGCAAGGATCAAGGATGCGGTACTGCGTGGGCCCTACAGTGCTGAGGATGACATGGCAGTGATGGGGTCATCTTCAGGGCCACAACCAATGACTGAGGAACCATTTAGTGTGGGAGATCAAACTGGCATGCACCTTAACCCTACACAATCTCTCTGGCTTCTAAAATTACCTTTTATTGCTCAAGACTGGATGTAATCCTTTAATCTGGTGATTTTTCTTTTATAATCTATAAAGTTCTCAAAGATATTTGTCAAAATACAGTTTCTGCTCCATTCCCTACACTATTTCTTCTAGAACTCTTTTTAGAATATATATATAAAAAACAGTCCAATAATTCTATCCTGTGTCTGATAAGCTAATGTTTATATTTGACAAGTATTTAACTCTTTTTTTAGTGTAAGGCATTCATTCTCTTTAACTCTAAGTTTATTTTTAGTTGTCTAGCTTACTATTTAACTTGTTAAGCAAAATTTTATTTACGTGTCAATGCCTTATGTGCCAAGAATTTCTATTTCTTCCCTTCTTCTAGGTCTTCTATTTCATTTTCCATATACTTGTTTCATGGTTTCTTTATTTCCTTGAATATTTAAAATATTAATGTATTAATATGTGTTTCAAAATAAACCACACACTAATGTTTCATAAGAAATAAGAGTATATCTACATGACCCAAGCAATAAATTCAGTGCAATCCTTATATGATTTGTTTTGTTTTGGGATCACACCTGGTGGTGCTTATGGGCTACTCTTGTCTTGGTACCCAAGGGGTCACTCCTAGAGGTGTCCTAGAGGACCATTCAGTGCCAGTGATTGAAGCCTGCATACAAGCATGCAAAGCATATGCTCCAGTCCTTTGAGCTATCTCCCTGACTTGCTATATATATACATATATAATACATACTACATATACATACATTATATACACATATATACTATATATATACACATATTATATACACATATAAGGAAATAGAACTATAGTAAAAATTGTAAGGAAGCACAAAGACCATGAATAAACAAAGCAACCTGGAAGGAAAGAAGAAAATTAGAGAAATTAAATTGCATTTCTTGACTTTAAGGTATACAACAAAACAAAAGTAATCAAATCATTCTGGTACTAGAACACATAAACATGCACGTGCACATACACAAACACACACAATTTAGCAAAATAGAGAACCGAGAAATATACCCATAAATATATGGACATTTAATTTAAAACAAAGGAGCCAAGGCCATAGTGTGTGTGTATGTGTGTGTGTGTGTGTGTGTGTGTGTGTGTTAGAGGGGAAAGCCAACATATGGTGTTAGAGAAACTGAACCTTAAAGAAAAAGAAGGATATAACTATAAAAAATATGGAAGAACATTATAAAATACACAGAAGTAAATATAAGTAATAAAATTCTGGACTTTGGTCTCAGAGATAAATTTTACTTTTTCAGTTTCAAGAAAGCACTCAACATAATCTATGAGAGAAACACAATCCAAAGGCACAGTGATTTATCTCAATCCTGTGGGAATGACATATTAAAAAAACAGAGAGGGGTCAACAATTATTGTTGTGAGAGAGGAAAAAGAACTCATATACTATTGGTGGGAAAGTTATTTGACTTAGGCTCTATGAAATCAGTATGGAGATTCCTAAGAGAACTTAGAACGGCAATATCATTATTTAGAAATACCACTCAGGTATTTTACAAAGACATGAAGACATTAATTGAAAGGATGTTTGCATTTCATATGTTTATAGCAGTATTATTCACAACACCCCAAAATATGGAATCTACCAACATGTCCATTGACAATTTCTTGGATAAGTTGTGACATATACACTCAATGGAAAACCGCTAAGACAATTATCAGATTATTTTATGAATAGAATACAAATAATCAAAACAAAAGAACTGACAAGACACAAAAAATATGTCTTAGATTCTGTGAAAAATGTGATGATTACTAAAGAGAAAAGGTAAGAGAGGTAAGAGGAATGGGTCACCTCAAGGGGGTATTTCTGATAGTCTGATGCACAAGAACTTTGGTGGCTGCAATGAATCTTGTACACATACAGAGGTATGAAATTGTATTCCTCAAATCTTACTAATGATGTGGTTCTTTCACACTTTTACATTATAACCACTTTGAATTCTTTCAGTTGTTGAATCATCTAAGTTTCTTGTTATAGTTCATTTTCCTTTAATTTTGGATTACCTGCCCACCTCAGACAGGAGTTGCTTAGTATATACCTCTGCTGGGATCTTTTTTTAAAAAAATTATTCATTCTCCAGTGGAAACACTGGTGGAAGGAAGTTGACATTGGAGGAGGGATTGGTGTTGAATTATTGTATGCCTAAAACTCAACTATCAGTAACTTTGTAAATCATGGAGTCTTTAATAAAAACTGAAAAGAATTCATTCCCCAGTGAGTTTTATTTTACGCTATGGTAGTTAAAACAACATGATTACAATAGCTTCAACATTTATGCTTTTAGTGTACAGCTACTGTACCTCCATCCCCAACAAAGTTCCCAAGATCCTTGACTTCTGTCCTTATGTCACTTCCAGCCTTTCTCTTCCTTTCTCAGCCCACATCCCCCTCACCACTCTGTAATCTCAACTCTAGTCAAAGTCCACAGGTTTGTTCTTATTAGATATTGTTCATTCCTTGCTATGTTTCTTCATAGAGGTATCACATTTGAGTGAGATCACCCCAATATTGCCCTTCTCTCTCTGCAATTCATTTAACATTATCACTGCTAGCTCTACTTATCTTCAATCAAAAGGCAAGATTTCCATTTTTGTATATTTTATGGGCTCCTAAAACAACTGAATTAGCTTCAATAGTGATTCACTGGATGGCCTGTCTTTGGAGATAAGACTGGGAGGCAGTGTAGTGCAGATGTTATGGCATGTACCCTGAGATTTCTTCTCCATTGTGAAATTACTGTATAACTATAGGCCAATCACTCTATTTAATGTCTTGTTTATGAAATAAAGATAATAATTTCTATTTCTTAGAGATACTATGAGGAATTAGTGAGATAATCAAATTAAGGAAGTTAGCAAAAAATTAGCAAAATGATTAGTACACATTAAATACTAAAAACATGTTATAGCTATTCTATCTTGTCAATATATTCTCCTTGCTTTGTGATAAAATGCAAGATACTTAATGCTCTTAAAATTCAATTTATGAGTGTGTATGTGAAATTCAAAGCCACCAGACATTACTCTTGTCAGATTTGTTTTATTTGTGACATATATTAGTCGGAGATGAGGGGAAAAAATCCCAGAAGAACATGTTCTCTTGGCTTTTAGCCATTATAGATGCATACTGATGAGAGGTGGAAAGAAGTTTCTGACATAATTCTTCTTTAAAAATAAGGCCTAATTAGTGAGTTGGACCATTTGCCAACTATTTTATGTCATTAAAATTTAGCAACAGGGAGAGTTCTTTTGTTGAGAAGAAAATGACCCAGATAAATTTCTTTGATTTTATTCAAATAGAAAATATATTTAATGTTTTGTCTCTGAGGTCTGGGGTTATAAGTGTCATTCAAAGGTTTAAAATAGAGAAGCACAGCTCAGAATCTATAACTGGTACCCAATAATTACTCTGGATTTGTTATTGCAGACGATAGAGACAGAGGCAAATTTCTCAGGAAGAGAGGCTCATGTAACCTCATATCTGTTTTGTATAATTTTTTTTTGGTTATTGCTATTTTGGATCTGTAGATGAGGAAAGGCTAAAGGAATAAAGTTAGTGAATGGAAGCTGAAGATTGCTGTAATTTATCATGGTCTAAGTCATTAGTTATCCAAAACCATTTTAAAAATGAATCATAAATTCTCTATGAGAGCGGATACGAAGCACCTTCAAATGAAAACCAGTTTTGAGATTTTTAATTACCTGATCTTCATAATCAGACCCCATGTCAATGATTTCTCCAGCGTCCAATAACATTGAAGGATCAAGGTCACTTGAACCTAAGATTAAGAAAGAAAAGATTATCTGAAGGGCGAAAATTTGTGTTTCTACATGTTTCTATATTTTTAAAGATGTTTTTTAAGTGTTATGCCACAAATAATCTCTCACTTGTTTTCCTCAATGAAAACATTACATTCAAACACTACGTTATGTTCACAAACATTCTGGTGCTGGGGAGAGAGTCCAAAAGACCAGTGTGTATCCATGCAGTTGGAGGCCCTGGGTTCTATCCCTTGTGTCACAAGGTTCCTACAGCAGTGCCAGTATGTAACCCTGGGGATCCAAAATTCCAAATTTCTTTATCCTTAAGATGAAGACCATCTTTGGAGATTTCTTGACAGCAAGGAGTAGGTTTAGCAGCCAAAAAAAAAAAAAAAGAGCAACTATTCTGACTAGAAGAAGAGGTGTGAGTCTTTACAAGGAATTGTCTATGAGTGCAAATTCTAAGGATGATTAAGTTTTCCAGGAGTTGAAGCACTTTGGGTGAGAGGACTAGGAACTGAAGGGAAGAAATGCTCTAAGGAAGTGCAGAGTGCGGGGAGACCATGGAAATTTCCAAACAGGAAGGGTTGAGTTTTTCAATGTGAAAATAGAAGGATTCTTTTTTCCAGACCGAATGATTCACCTTAGTTCCTGATAAGAAGAAGCAGGTTAACTTTGGGGGTGGTGTGTGTGTATGTGTGTGTGTGTGTGTGTGTGTGTGTGTGTGTGTGTGCGCGCGTGTGTTTTGGGGAGGCAAGTGGGGAGGGGAAAGTTAGGCTACAACAGGTAGTACTTAGGAGCTACTCCTGGTTCTGTGCTCAGGGATCATTCCTGGTTGTGTTTGTGGGAATCATGCTGTACCAAGGATCAAACCAGGGTCAACTTTGTGCAAGGCAAAATAACCTCTATAGTATCTCTCTGACCCCAAATTTAAAGTGATAGAGTTTACCCCTTAAGCTTGCCTAACGGTTTTGTTAAATTATTTGTATATTAATATCCAAGGCTCAAACCTCAACCATAATAGGGCTTCTAAAGTACAACTGACTCATCATTCTTATTTAACCACTTGCTCCTGCTGGAAAATATATATCATCAAGCTAGGCAGAGAGATACTTCCCATAAAATGTTATAATAGATGTGGTGAAGAAATGAACACTCTATGTTTCATTGAGAACTTGGCCTTGTCAAACAATTCTTGATGTCAGAGTATGCAATAAATAATGTTTAATAAAGAAGGATTTAAATTTTTTGTTGTTGAGTCACCATGCGATATACAGTTACAAAGGTTTGGAACTGGGTTTTAATCAAACAATGTTCCAACACCCACCCCTTCACGAGTATACATTTAGCATCACCAGCGTCTCCAGTTTTCTTCTTGTGTCGGTCCCACCCCAGTCTGTCTCCATGACAGACACTTTTCTTCTCCCTCTCTCTCTGTCTCCCTGTCTGTCTCTCTCTCTCTCCTTTTGTCATTATGGTTTGCACTATAGGTACTGAAGGTTAGTATGTTTGTCCCTTTACCTACTTTCAGCACTCAGTTAAAATGTCAAACTTCTTTGATGCTCCTTGGATATAAATCTCTCCCAAAGAGGCTGTTTTTACAATTTCTTCAATGCAAAATACAAAATATGTCCTCCCATAGTCTTTCCTTATCTCTTCCTTTTTTTTACCATCATTATCCCTGATGTTGATACTAATTTGATTAGATACTAAGCAGTGATACTATTATACATTGTGTTGATATATTTGACACCTTTCTCCCCAAAGGATAAGATTTAAAAAAAGTAGACCTGTGACCTGCCAAACCATTCTGGAAAAGTAACTAAGATTCAGAGTGGCCGTACACAGCTCAAGTCTGTGTTACAAGTCACACTGTTAGAACACCCTTGCCAAACTACACTGTTAATAAAGTGGCTGTATGCCGGGGATAGAGCTCAGTAGCTAAACACTTGCTTTGCACATGTGAGACCCTGGGTTTGATCCCTAAAAAAACAAACAAAAAAAGAATATAGTTGCTAGAATGGAGTTTGGAAGACTGCCATATACTGTTAACATGAGATTCACTGTATTACTGTATCACTGTCATCCCATTGTTTGTTGATTTACTCGAGTGGGTGCCAGTAACGCCTCTATTTGTCCCAGCCCTGAGATTTTAGTAGCCTCTCCTTATTTGTCTTTCTCAATGATTGGAGGCTCTTTCAGGGTCAGGGGAATGAGACCTGTTATAGTTACTGGTTTTGGCATATCAAATACACCACGGGGAGCTTGTGGACTCTGCCCATGTGAGAAGGATACACTTGGTAGCTTACTGGGCCCTCCGATATATATATATATATATATATATATATATATATATATATATATATATTTAAGGCCCTCCCGTTGATCGTCGATTTGCTCGAGCGGGCCCAGTAACGTCTCCATTAGAGACTTTGTTGTTACTGTGTCTGGCATATCCAATACTCTCGGTAGCTTGCCGGGCTCCCCGAGAGGGGCGGAGGAATCGAACTCGGGTCGGCCATGTTGGCCGCTTGTAAGGCGAACGCCCTATATATATATATATATATATATATATATATATATATTGTTGCCTACTGTCTGAATTCCATCAAACATGGTGTGATAATTATGGAAAATGGCTAGGAAGTGTCTTATGATGTGTCCTGAAAGAGGCCTGGAGCGTGGCGGCAGTTGGGTAGTGGAGGTTGGCTGCCGGGGCTGGGTCCCTTGGGATGGGGAGGGCTCTCGCCCATCCCCCCTAGGGCTCCCCAAGTGAAAACAGCCTGGTGCGGTGTCCAGTGGCATGGTCATGGGGGCCTCATTTTAAACTCCCATCTGGGAGGAGCAGCTGTGAGTTCTGGAGGGTGAGGTGATAAGCAAAGTTTCATTTTATATGTAACTTTTTAAAAGTATTGTGTGTGGGGGGAGGGGTGAAAAAAATTTTAAATCTGTACTTTTGGTATCCTTCAAATACAATTTTTGCTCAGGGAGACATTTCAAAGGACTGGATCCTTGTACCCACAAGGGCCCCAGTTTAATTCTTGGCACCTCATGGCCCCTCCTGCTCCACCACCTTCCCCAGCATCCCCACCAGGTAGCCCTGATGGCCCCCAGCACCCCTGGGTCAGAGCAACATTGCAGGGCAGGGCTGAAACACTGAACTGTTCAGCCTGGGTGTTTTAATGTTGCCAGGGTACTTCTGGGGCTCATGGTCCCTTCTTTAAAGAACACTCCTGAAAATTTACAAGGTGTATCTTGAGGCCAAAAATACTTGGCAGTCTCATGGTTAGGTGTGAAGATCAGTTTGCAGTTAGGTGTTATGAGGCAGTCACGACATCAGATGTAAAAGGTATACTTTTCCATTATAATATCATGGGCACTATAAAATGGAATTTCAGAGAATCTAGCCACTTGATTTTAGAAAAAAAAAGGAAAAAGGGGTGTAGAGAAGTTAAATAATTTCATGCCAAGATCATAGAGAAAGTGAGGGAGATCAAAGACAGAAATCATTGTTCCCATTTCCCCTAACACATTCAGCTGTCTCGCAATTCTAAGAAAAAGCTGTCTAAGTGGCTTTGTGCACTGGATCTCTCATTATGGCACTCTACAGGAGGAGCCGAAAGGAGTGTGATGCCTCTGTGACATTTGGAGAAAATGAGAAACAGTGAATGCTGATGATGAGGTGGGTCATGGTATAGCTGCAGAATGGAGCAAGCAGAAGTGGAATGGAGAAGTGTCACTCCAGCCTGTGACAATCACAGCAGCTGCTATTGAAGGCATTATTAAAGGCAAAGCCTATTTTATTTAGCTTCCATTATTTCCACAATATGCATATTATCCTCCACTGGCTACTCGAAGCGATCAAAGGTGTAGTAATTAAAATGATACCTCATCTCATCTGTATTCAGAGCAATTCCTGTGAAGTGAGAATGGGGTCTGAACACAAAGGTTTATTAAACATATAGTTGCTTGAGTTCCTGTGTCCCGCTTATTTTATTTAATTAAAAACTTTTCTCTCATGAAAAAAGTACAATGTGAAGGGTTCTTGAACAACCCCATTAACAGACATTACACATTAATATTTCAAATCATGAAAGATTGTGAGAAAAATATGTTCAGCAATAACAGAATGAAGAGATCCTTTATCAAAAAGAAAAAAATGACTCATGTTTATATGGAAGAATAAATTGACTTTCCTAATAAAGTGCTTTTAACAGAAATTTTATTTTTTCATTAAGGGATGGAATTTCTTGATGTTGTTGCTCTTGGCAACAGTACTAATATATCATAGGAGGCAGTAGACAAAAGATATCATTATCAGCTCAGATAATGATTGAATAGCTTTCATTTTCTTTTAGCATTGGTTGCTTGGTTTGCTGAAAATGGGACCTTTAATAATAATTGAAGGTTTGACACACAAAACTGGGGGTGTAAATAAAGATATATGTACATATTTTTGCCTTTATTAATTTGGTGATTCAACACAGGAAACAACCATAGTGATCTTATTACTAAAACAAACAAACAAGCAAAATAATCAGCAAAATCAAGAAATTCTGAAAAAAGTGATAATATAGCTTTCATGTTCCCTTGTCTTAAATTTCTCAATTTCGTTTCAGATTTAAAAACATCCTTTCTCTAGCAAGCAGACAAAGGCAGGTGCTGAAATAGAACCGCAGCAGGGAACACTCAGTGTCACCAGCATTAGACATAAACTGGTCTTTGGAAATATGATTTTAGATTGCTTCCTTAAATTTAAGTGGGAATAAAGAAACCCAGAGGACAGCCACATCATTTTCTGGGACACTCTTACAGAGCTTTTCTCTCCTAGTGGACTCCAATCTAAAGTTTTAAGAAGGCCCTCCTTCTACTTTAAGTACTAAATAAAGGGATTCTCAACACAATCAGGTTTTGTCAGCAGTGAGGAACCTGTAGACAAGCCTCTATTATTTCATTCATTTGCCTGAGAACTGAAGAGTCCGTCACCCCTCTCCCCCAACCCCCTGACCGATTCTAT